AGTTCACCCTGAGGCATCAAGGCAATCCTTAAGGGTAAACCAAATTCTTGCATTTGTGAACCCCTCTCTCCTGAGTCAAGCAGAAGGTTTTCAGTAGAAAGAGCTTGGCTTCATTTGCATTGAATTCTCTTTGTGATTTACTTCCTGATAATTTTCAATAAAGATACAGAGAAGCTTGGCTTGGGGTCTTCAGATGAGAACTGCTGACCCCCTGTTTTATGCTCTCTGCTCTATCTAAAAAAAAAAATAATCATGTGGGATAACTTCAAAAAGAACAACATACAGGTGACCAAAATTCCAGAACCAGTCAGGGAGTAGAAAAGCATGGAGAAAATTTTGGAGTAAGTTCTAGAAGAAAACTTCCCAAGAGTCATGAAAAATTAGAAAATTCACACTTAAGAAAAATGAACTAGACCACAAAAGAAAGCCATAAAGACATAGGAAATATCTCAAAAATAAAAGGATTGACTGCAAAAGGCAGCAACAGAAAAACAAAGAGTCATGTACAAAGGAAAACCTATTAGATTAAGCTCTGGTTTATCAGCAGAAATAAATAATGGGAGCAAGAAGCCAATGGAAAGGTTTATAGAGAAGGCTGAAAATAAACAAGTGACGGCCAAGGATCCTATACCCAGCAAAGCTGTCCATCAGATTTGAAGGAGAAATTAAGTCATTTGCAGAAAAGTAGGAACTTTGTAAAATTTGTAAAATCTACAAATTCTATTGTAAAAATAAGACCAACTCTGTAAGAAATTCTAAGGGAAATCCTTCACATAGAGATACCAAAAGAAAGTCGATGAACCATAGTTACCTGAAATAGAAGCATAGCAAAATGGCAATGAACAAACCTGGCCTGTCACTTATAATAGTTAATGTAAATGGATTAAATGCATCAATCAAAAGCAAAAGAGGAGCCATATGGATGGGGGGGGGAGCAAGGCCCATCAATATGTTACCTACAAGAGACACATCTAAAAAATGAGAGAAAAGATACAATTTCATTTTAAAAATTAAAGGCTGGAAAACTGTATACCAAGTAAACAGCATGCACAAAAAAGCAAAAGTGGAAATACTAATCTCTGACAAAATAGAGATCAAGATGAAAACCATCATAAAATATAAGGAAGGGCACTATATAATTATTAAAGTCACAACAGATCAAGAAGATGTAACCTTGGCAACATGGATTTATCAAATGACAGATCTGAAAAATACATAAAACAATGGCCATCAGACTTGAAGAAGAAAATAGACAACAATGCAATAGTAATAGAAGACTAACACATCACTCTTAACAAAGGACAGGTCAACTCAAAAGAAAGTCAACAAAAAATGCAAAAGAACTAAATTATACAACCAATCAACTCAATCTCATAGATGTACTCGGGGTACTTCCCCAACTAAAAACTCAATTTACTTTCTTCTCAAGTGTGTGAGGTACATTCTCCAGAACTGATCACATATTAGGACACACACCAAAAAAAGCCTCAACAAATCTAAAAACATTGAGATAATACAAAAACATTGAAGTAACAAAAAAGTAGTACTTTTTTTCTCAGACCACAGTGTCATAAAACTACAAGAGAGTTCCGGTGGCCTAGTGGCAAGAAGCTGCACTGCAATCCCGGAGGTGCATGGTTCAAATCCACCAGATGCTCTTCTGGAGAAGGGAGTGGGGGCAATCTCCTCCTGCACAAAGTCAGATCCAATTTGACTGTACACACACACACACACACAAATAATTTTAAAAAATTAAAAACCTACAAAGTAACAATGAGAGGACAAAGGATTAAAAAATAAATAAATAATCAAACCAGAAACACCCATGTGGATACTAAATAACACCCTGCTTGAGCACTATTGGATTGCAGAAGAAATAAAAAGTGAAATTAAAACGTTCTTCAAAGCAAAAACAATAAAGTTCTTAAAAAAAAATGAAAGCGCAACATACCAAAACCTCTAATACAGGAAGCTCTGGTGGCCTCGTGGCAAGAAGCTGCACTACAATCCTAGAGGTGTGTGGTTCAAATCCACCAGATGCTCTGCTGGAGAAGGAAGGACAATCTCCTCCTGTATCAGTTAGATCCAATTTGACGATACACACACACACACACACACACACACACACCCCACAACAACAACAAAAAACAACCTCTACTACATAGCTAAGGCAGTCTTTAGACTCATGTTGTTGTTAATGATTGCCTACGAGTTGAGCACGACTCATGGTGACCCTGTGAACAAAAGGTGTGAAGGCCTTTTACAACTATTTATTTATTTTTCAAAGTTCATAGAGTTTCTGGAGGCATGTTATTTAGGAAGTGGATACCACTTCTGCTTTCAAACCTGTCATAGTATGAAAGAGGAAGAGTGGAATTAGTTAGAATAGCAGAGTTTAGTGGACAAATTTGCAGGAAGGTGAGGGAATAGAAAGATTCAATTGGGACTTGAAAGACAGTATAAAAATGGGCATATCAGATGGCAATTACTTAAATAGGATCAGTGTATATGAATGACTGTATGAAACACAATGGAGAGGGAATGCATGGAACACAACATATATGATTAAAATACAATGTAAATCAATTATTGTATGAAAACCAATTTTAAAAATTGTGGGAGGGTGGGGGAGAAATGGTAAACCAACAGCATGCTGCATCACAGTAACACCAACAACGAAAAGTGTTCTAAGGTATACTTTTAAGATTATAAATTTTCCTCAAGACACTATTTTATCCACTAGTTTGTTACATGTCTTCCTACTATCATAGAGTTAAAATATTTTCCAATATCCTTATATATAATATTTACATGCATTATTTGCTTAAAACAAATGGGAAGTTTGTGGTTATCTTCCTCTTAATGATTTGTAATTTAATTCCACTGTGATTGGAGAATATATTCTGACTTTAATATTTTTTTAATTTATTTCCACTGTTCAGTGTAGGGTTAATATTGGTAAATAAGTCAATACAATTCTAAAGAACCCATACTTTGTGTGGTTCAATTTCTTTATTTGCCAACTAAGTTGTTTTGTTGTGTTTCATTAGTTTTCTATGCTCTCAGTAAATTTTGTTCTATTGTTCTATCATCTGTTAGTGAGATGAGTTAAATTCTGCAACACTGATTCTGAGTTTTTCTGTTTCTTCTATTAATTCTGTTGATTTCGTTCTGTCTATAGAACTGACCTTTATATCACTGTGTTCTCTCTCCGTCTAATATGGTCAAAAAGTCCATCTTATGTGATATTAAAGTAACTACTCCAGTTGCCAGATTAAAAGTCACTTTAGATATCCATCTTTTAATCCAACTTTAACTCTTATAAACAGTATAAAGAAAATTTTTGTCTTCTTTTATAATTGGAGTATTTACATGTAAAGAACTAAGAAATAGTTGGGCTTTAATTTGCTACTCTTCTTGGTTTTTATTTTTCTTTACTTGTAATTTCCTTCTTTATTTTCATTTTACTAAAGTATTTTTATTTTTCTATTTTTTCCTGCATGAACTATTTTTATTTCTAGCCTTGCATTATTATTAGTAATAGTAAATAGCTTAGAAATTTCAATATGTATCATTGACTTACTACATTCTATTTGTTTGTACTTTTACCAGTTTCTGAACAAAGCAATGATCTTACGGCTATGTAACTCCATTTACCACTTCTTATTATTTACACTTCTTATTATTTACACTATTACTATGTATTTACTTCCTAAAATAAGCTATAAACCTTATCAACTATTATTATCATTATTGTCTTTTAAGGTCAATTTCTTTTAGTACTTATCCACAAATTTAAGATTTCTAGTTATTTTCATTTTCTCCTGTATTTGCATGCTACCTTCTTGGTTTATTTCCATTCACTCTGAAGAACTGGGGGGGAGGGAAGGACTATTTTTTTAATAGGACTGGATTTCTAGGTCTTTTATTTATAAGTCTATTTTTTATAGGATTGTATTTCCAGCAACAAAGTCTCTCCATTTTTTTCTTAACATGTGTTTATTTAACTTCTATGTTAGATGTTTTCACTGAGTATAAAAGTGTAAATAAACATATCTTATTCTTGCCTTTTTATACGTGAGTATGTATCACTTAGTGTCTGTTATTATTTCTCCACAATGGTTTTAAAGATATCAAGCAGCACTTAGGTCACAAATGGGATGCAGGTAAGTGAGACAGAGGACTTGGCTCTGGGTGCACACTCTTGGGCTTTGCCGGCAGGCAGGCAAGGGGAAGCCAGTCCTGGGTGCGCTCCTCCATCGGCACTCTGAGACTCTGCTTCCACTGCTGCAGTCCATTTGTTCCTCCAGCCCCAGTCAAACAGCTCCAGAAAGAGCACTAGTGCCTAAATCAAGAATCAGGCTTCTGTATGGTTTTAACACCATGGTTTGTACAGGGTCCAAATCAGATACTGCCCTATTTCACAGACCAAATCATGGACCTTAAGCAAACAAACCTGTATTCTATTCCACTGGTTTTTTACTTCCATTATTCCATTGAGAAGTCAGTAAAAAAAAAATTCTTAATGTTGATTCAGTGTAACATTCTTCTCTAGTAAATAGAGGCTGAGTGTGACAATGTGTGTGAGGTAAACAGAAAACAAAGTACTATTTTATTATACTTTAGATTATTTGTCTTCTTTAATTAAAACACTTCATTTTGAGTACTTCGTGATTTAGAAATTTGTCATTAAGAATATCTTTCTTCCACAGAAATCTACTTCTGAGAAATTGCCTAGTATCTATAGATCTGTGACCATCAACACTTCCAAGGAGATGATGTGCTTTAGTGACTTCCCTATACCTGATCATTTTCCAAACTACATGCACAACTCTAAGCTCATGGACTACTTTAGGATGTATGCCAAACACTTCGATCTCCTGAAGTACATTCGTTTTAAGGTAACGTAGAAATTAAATATTGGATAGAGTGTGTGTGTGTGTGTGTGTGTGTGTGTGTGCGCGCGCGCGCGCGCGCACGCGCGCAGATGTGCACATCTGCAGATAAGAACTGCACTTGACACTTCCTAGTATCAAAGAAAGAGGTAATTAGTGAATTTCCACTCCTGGAAAAAATCATCATTTTAATGAAGTAATATTTGGAAGATTTCACTTGAATGTGAGACTGGATACTTTTGCCTACAAGAACCCATTCTAAGAATGGTATAGTATGGTAAATTCCCTCTTTTTTAATCTCAAGTTAAAAATATTCATCTACTTATAACAATTTCAGGGAGCTTTGGTAGCTTATTCACTAGGGGGTTGTGCGGCCAATCTATGAGTTAAAATTCATTAGCTTCTCCTGAGAATAAAGACTGTCAATCTTCTTCCATGGGATTTACAGCCTCTGAAAAACCACTGGAGGGTCAGCTATGAATTCATTGCAACTCCACTGCAGTGTGTTCTTTTTCTTTTAGTTTAAGTATAAAAATTTCAGTAACAATTTACTCAAGCAATAGCCTGAGGAGCAAGAACTGAAATGGTCTAAACAAGCACATAGGGAAAAAATTCACGTCCATGTATTTAGTACAACCTATTTATTTTCAAAAACTAAAAACCAAAGCCATTGTCCTTAAGGCAATCCCAATTCACTGCAACCCTATAGAATAGAACTTCTCTACAGGGTTTCCAATACTGTAATATTTTGTAGAAGCACACTGCCACATATTTCCCCCGACTCCCATGGAACTGCAGCTTGTGCTTTTAAACAACTCAACTTTCAGTTAGCAATTGAATACTTTAATCACAGTACCACCAGGACTCTCTTCTTTACCTTCACAACCTACAATACATATATATTCCATTAAACTGCCTTTAAACCTTTAAAGTTCAAACTCGGGCAAAGTGGACAGGACTATGAAATAGAAAAAACACAGAACATAAAATCTTTAATTTTAGTATCTTCCAGAAAGGAAATTATAATTCTTGTGGGCTGTGGGTTCAGTCACTGCTTTGTGCTTTCACAGTCAAGTCTCATCTATTTTCCATTTCTATTAGGGAATTAGCCTGTTAATTAAATATCTCCAAATTCTTGACAACGCACCAACCACCTCAGGAGATTTATCATGAGTTCCCAGGAATAAAAGTGAAATAAGCATGAATCTTTCATTTATATGAGTTATGTTATTTAGATTTATGGGTTTGGGGAATGGAGGAGACAGGAACTTAAGTCTCAGGACAGTAACTACATGTGATCTGTGTTTGTGCCCTTGTTTTCAGACAAAAGTGCGAAGTGTAAGGAAGCATCCAGATTTTTCCCTCACTGGACAGTGGGAAGTTGTGGTGGAGGCTAATGGCCAACAGGAGACTCTGGTCTTCAATGGGGTCTTGGTCTGCAGTGGTCACCACACTGACCCCTACTTACCCCTTCATTCCTTCCCAGGTATGTCTCTAAGGAATTATTGGGTAGAAAAATATTTTCCAGACAGAGAAAAGTGATTACATAGACACTTTATTGCTAAAGTTAAGGAAATGTTTCTAGGAAATCCATAAGAAGTTGTGCTATTCCTCTCGAGCAGTTTTAATCCACCAGCAACCCCACAGGAAAAAGATGGGCAATCTCTTCCCCTGTGATTTTCAGCCTCTCAAAACTTGCTGGAGGGTCAGCTATGAGTCAGTTCTGACTAGATGGCAATCAAGTTATTTGGGTTTGTTGTTGTTTTTTTTTAACTATCCAACATTTACATTAATAGGATGATACAGTAAACTTGAAATACAAAAATCAGCAGTCTAACAATTTCTATTTTTTTTCTTATTACATATAACCTATAATACCTCACATTTAAACGGCTTTAGTTTTCTGTCAGTTCATTTGAGGATACACCACTGTAGCAAAAATGAAATTAATAAAGAAGAAATGACTAGTAAAAAGAGGAGGGAAAAGGCAACACAATTTAAAACCTTAGAGATCTTTTTCTCTACAACGCAAAGAAGATTACGGACAAAATCTAAAAGGAGCATTAATTTATCATGGATTTTAATTGATTAATAAACAAACTAACTGCTTATTGCTCCCTATGCATTCTATGTGATAAAATGATCCTCATTTACATGTTCCCAATGGAGACTCTGACTTGGAAAACAAAACAAACAAATAAATAAAAAACACAACTCCTCCATTAACTAATTTTGTCTCTCTACTCCTTCCTTTTCTATCACTTTCTTTTTTGGAGTCACTCAAGAAATATTTGCTATCTCAGTATCTTTCTATTATGTATAAAATGCATCATAAACCATTTTAGAGAATTAAGAACGTCTGAAAATAACGGTGTTTGATAGACATAGAAGGCCTTAAACTTGGATTGTTTTATCCAGCTGATCAGAGAAGTGATACAAGCACCTGAAGTTTCTGTGTATGCACACCAACACTCTCATTTGTAAAATGGAGATCTTGAGCTTTACATTTAAAAAAGATAATTTATACTGAAAACTATAATATAATTGAGAAAAAAACCCTCCAACCGTAAAATTTTTGTCAACTTGATGTCTAGTTGAGAGCTCAACCCTTAATATATGGGATAGGAATATTAGGATAGTTTTCAGAGGAATGAAACACAAACATATCTAGAATTAGACAATGTCTTAAATTGCCAAACACAGGTTGAAGGCTGTGATGGAACCCTTAGCAGAGCCAGGAATAGCACGTGGAAGGCAGAGGAGATGTCAAATTGATGAAGATCATCAAATTGATGAACTCTGACTCATGACAACCCTGTGCGTGCAGAATAGTACTGCCTGCTAGAGGTGTTAGAAGATATGACCTTTCTGAAGCAGATCTCCAGGCCCTACTTCCAAGGCACCTCTGGGTGGATCTGAACTACTAACCTTTTGGTTAGTCCAGCACTTAATCATTTGCACCATCAAGAGACTGCTTTACTAAATAGTTCATAATGCTCTGTATTTAGGAGCCCTTTAGTATAAGTGTTATATGTGAGGATGCTACACAAAAGGTCAGGAGTTCGAATTCATCAGCTACTCCATGAAAGATGAGATAATCTCTTATGGAGATCCTGAGAAACACAATTCTAGGTTCGTCGTGTATGAGAATTTACTCAATAGTAGTATTTGTGTAAGTTTATGTTTAAAATTAGAATATGTATTAATTTCCCTTTTTTGCACTCCCTCCTTTTCTGAGCTCTGTAAAATGTAAACATTTTAAGGCAAAAAGTGATGTTCAACTTAGTGACCCAGGTGAGGTCTTGTTATTTCAGACTATTTAGAACTTTCTCCTTTGTCCAGCATTAATGATGCAAAAAATATTCCTTATATTAAAGTTCCGTTATTCCACCACAGGAATTGAGAAGTTTGAAGGCTGTTATTTCCATAGTCGGGAGTACAAAAGTCCTGAGGAGTTTTTAGGAAAAAGAATCATAGTGGTTGGCATTGGGAATTCTGGAGTGGACATTGCAGTGGAGCTCAGTCGTGTAGCAAAACAGGTTGGTTTGTTGGTAGGTGGGTTTGTGGGTGGGTGGGTGGGTGGGTTGGTTAGAAAATTACAACTTTATTAACAGAATCCCATGTATTTATTCAGGGACCTCTGATAGTGTAGCTCATGGCGAGCTGTGCTGCTAGCTGAAAGGCCATGTCTCTCTGAGACATGCTGCTTGAGGGAAAGATGGACAATCTCCTCCTGTGTGGTTTACAGCCTCATATGCACTGGTGGGTCAGCTATGAGTTGATTTCAAACTAGACAGCAATAACTTTGATGTATATGTGAGTGCCTTCCTCAATGTATATTTTGTTAGGAAAGGACCAGAAAAAAAATTAAAAGCGTAATCCTGGCTTCAAAATATTCAAATTCAAGGGAACAGATAATAAATACAGAAAGTGGGAAAGCACTGAGTGGTGAAAATAGTTAATGTGCTTGACTCTTATCTGAAAGCATGGAGATACAAGTCTCCCTAGAAGTACAACTACAGAAGGATCTAGTAATCTCCATTTACCTTCCCTTACTGGGGGGGGGGGGAGCCACTGAAAATCCTCTGAAGCATGAGACAATTAGTTCAAATGGTATACCAGAGTTCATAAAGATAATGTTCTGCTTCCTCATTAGGTTGGTAGTTTCTAGGATCAACTTGTGAGTTATCATCTACAAAAGAACTAGTGGTCACTGCTCACCTGAAGCTAAAGAGAATGAAGGAAAAGGAAAACTTAAGGAAGAAATTAGTATATAGGACCATAAGTAAAACAGTCTCATCCTGTCTGAGACCAAAACTAGATGATGCCTAGCTACCACTACTGACCATTCTGACCAAGGGCACAGTGTTGGGTTCGGTGCCATGATATCAACTATGACTCATAGCGACCCTATGAACAACAGATCTGAACTCTGCCCTGTTCTATGCCTTTCTCATCATTTCTGATATACTTGAGTCCATTGCTATACTCACTATGCCAATCTATCTTGTTGAGGGAAATAATTGAAAATAATAAAAGTAAGAGAAAAATAGAGAACAAAATTCAAATTTCTCTTTAATTAGAAGCATTACAATGTATCTAGAGATATGAGGAAGATAGAAGTAAATAATAAATTCTGCTTCAGACATATTTCACTTCAAAAAAAGTTATTTAAAAAGTCATCTATGATTGATTATTCAATATTCATTCTTTCACTGAAAAAAATAAGGACAGATGAAAATAATAAGCTTTTGGGATTCTAGGTTCTTGACTATATTCAAAAGACATATTAAGTTCAAAAACAAATAGGGTCTGGCTTGGACAAAGTGAAACCAAGTTTCTCCCTGGAGGCTAGGATTTTGAAGCTCTATTTTACATACTTTGGGCACGTGGCCAGGAGAGACCAGTCTGTGGGGAAGGACATCATGCTTGGAAGGGTGGAGGGGCAATGCAGGAGAGGAAGACCCCGGATGAGATGAAATGATACAGAACCTGGGGTGATGGGGGTTGGTGTGTTGGAGTTTGTGAAACTGGGTCAGGACAGAGCAGGGTTCAGAGCTGTTGTACATAGAGTTGCTATAGGTCACAGATGACTCAAGGGCACATAACAACAACATACTATATTGGTTGTTATATTTAAGCCTCTTGTTTAAAGTCAACAAGACCTTGGGAAAGATTTTTTTATTTAAAGGTGGTTGTTATTATATTTTGGAGGAATATTCTTCTAAATGGTAGAGCACTCTTCTGTCAATATGTCATACTGAGGTAATCTGGGGTTGTTGTGGTGTTGAACCTTATGCCACTGGGGTGCCAAATGCCATAACAGTTACCCATGGTGGACAGTGTTTAGTGGAACTCCCAGTTTAAGACAGATTTGGAAGCAGGAGTGGCATTCACTTCCTAAACAACATGCCTCTGGAAATTCTATGAACTTTGAGAAATGATGATAGTTACAAAAAGGCTTCAGGTCTTTTGTTCACAGGTTCACTATGAGTCATGCTCAACTTGATGACAATCAACAACAACAATAACTTTTTAATTATGATTTTAAGAAAAATTATTAGAAAGTCATTTACTAAAGGTTTCTTTTAGGGAAAAAACATTTTGTTTTCTGCTTTTGATGCATGACTTTGTTCACTAGCACCCATTTCCTGTGATGTCTGCCCAGTAAGAATTGAGATTCAACATGATCTCCATAATATACAAGCACTAATAATCCAACAAACAATTTGTATATTTTTTAATTACACTGGCTTGCAGAAAGTTTACAAATACATTAGGAAAGATTTGAAAAGGAATTCTGGTGACATTCAAGTAGAAACAGAACATTATTCCTGAATAGGAAAGAAAGAACTGACCAAAGTGAATGTCAAAATAGACTCTGAAGCTTGCTGTAGAATATAAATCAAAAGTGAATGGAAGAAATGGCAAAGAAAGAGAGCAGAACGGAAGATTTCCAAGGGCAGCTTTAGCACACAAAGTAAAGTATTATAATGAAGTGTGCAAAGACCTGGAGTTAGAAAACCTAAAAGGCAGAATATTCTTGGCATTTCTCAAACTGAAAGAATTAAAGAATAAATTCAAGCCTTGAGTTGCAAGATTGAAAGATTTTATGGGCAAAATTTTTAATTACATAAGATATATCAAATGAAAAGGTAAGGAATGTTAAATGCATAAATAATTGTTGATGCTAAACCACAATGGTACTAAAGAGAAGAGGTCAAACTCCACGGAAGGCATTGGCAGAGATTGCAAAAATATTGATGGAGGTGTTTCAACAACAGATGCAATAATTGGATGTGGTCAAATGTCTATATTAGGATGTTTGGAAGATACTTATCTGGCTAATCAAGTGGTAAAGATCTACATCTGTGCCCATTCCAAAGAAAGGTGATCCATCAAAACGTGGCATTTATAAAATAATATCAATTATGAAAAGCTAACGCAAATGCACTGACATTGAGTGGATTCACAGCCACCTTTCACCAGCTTTCTGAGGATTTAAGTCTTTATGGGAGAGAAAGTCTGCTCACCTTTCTCCCAAGAAGCAGCTAGCACATTCAAACCACTAATTTTTCAGTTAGCAGCCTGACATATCTTCATTTCACAGAATTCCTTATATCATTAATATACACAAAATAAAATCTTGCTAAAAATAATTTAAAAACAGCTAGATAAGTACATATTTAGGAAACTTTCAGGAATTCAAGCTAGATTCAGAAGAGGAGACTTATAGGGGTATCAATTAGCTTGATCTTGGCTGAAAGCAGAGACTATTAAGAATATTATTTAACTGAGTTTATTGACTTCTTGTTGTTGTGTGCCATCAGGTTGAAACTGATTCATAGCTGGCCCTCTAGAGGTTTTTCAGAGGAAATTAATTGTTTGGGAGGAGACTTCCCATCCTTCTCCCATGGACCAACTAGTGGATTCAAACCACATGTCTTTGGGATTGCAGCACAGTTTTTTACCAGTACGCCACCGAAGCTCCTGTGTTTTATTGACTATACAAAAGCATTCAACAGTGTGGATCGCAAAAAATTATGAGTAACATTGCACAGAATGGAAAATTCAGAAAACTGAGCTTATACAGAACTCTACGTCTAAAATGAAGTCATTCAACAAAATAAGGAGATACCGCATAGTTTAAAATCAGGAATTTGTGCATCAGGGTGCTATCTTCCCACTATAGTTATTTAATCTCTATGCTGTAAACAACCTAAGAAATTAGGATATATGGAGAAGAATGAGGTGTCAAGTTTGGAGAGAGTTTTATCAACAATTTGCAATATGTAGATGAAATAACCTTTCTTGTTGAAAATGAGAACTATTTAAAGTACCTACTTAAATTCACAAAAACTATAGTCTTCAGTAAGTATTACTTTTACACATAAAGAAAGTAAAACTCCTTACAATTAGACCAATAAAACATTATGGTAGACAAAAGATAATTGCTGGCAAAGATTTCATTTTACTTGAATCCACAATTAACATACATAAAAGCAACAGTCAAGACATCAAAGTATTGTATTTGGCAAATCTGCTGCAAACTAAAGTACTAAAGGTGTCACTGAGAACTAAAGTATCCCTTGTTGAAGTCAGTCAAAATTATATTTTCATTTGCCTCATATGCATGTAAAAGTTAAATATGAATAAGGAAGACTGAAGAAGAGATGGATTGACCCAGTATCTAGAACAAGGGGCTCAAGCGTTGTGCTTGAGGGATTGTAAAGATGACAGAATTGGGCAGTGTTCATTCCATTGTTCACAGGGTCACTATGAGCTGAATTCAGCCCAATAAAACTCAATAAGAATGAAATTGCTGAATAATTTGATTCATTGATGTTTTTATTTTTTTTATTATGATGCAAACTATAGAATAGAATACTGTGTTATTGTTGTGGTTAAGTGCCATCGAGTTGACTGCAACTCATAGCAATGTTATGAATAACAGATGAATCTGAACCATTTTCCATCCTGTGTCCTCATTATTTCTGACATATTCGAGTCCATCGCAGTAACCACTGTGCCAATCAATCCATCTGGCTAAGGGTCTTCCTCCTGGACCCTCCATCTCCCTAAGCATGATGTCAGTCTCCAGAGAATAGCCTCTCCTATCAACATGAAAAAAGTAGATGAGATGAAGTTTTAGCATCTTTGTCTAGAAGGAGCACTCTGACTGTACTTTTCTCAAACCATATTTATTTGTACTTTTATCACTTCATAGGATTTTCAGCACTCTTCTCCAACATCACAATTCAAAGACACCAATTATTTTTTTGTTATCCTTATTCGTTGTCCAGCTCTCAGATGCATAGTAAATGATTGGAAAGAACATAACCTGAACCAGGAGAACCTTAATCTTCAAACTGACATCATTGTTCCTCAGTAATTTGGAGAGGCCCTGACTACAAACTTTCCCAATGCAATATGTCTCATGATTTCCTATCAAATGTGTTAACTGTGAATCCAAGCAATATGAAGTTGTTGACAGTGTCAATCTTTCTTCATCTAGCATAATGTTGTCTATTAGTCAAAT